AACGTTGTCCTACGTATAAGAAGCGCGTATACACATATACTGGTACTTGTCACTATGACATTATCGATCCGATGGCACGGTCGGACGTCGGTTGGTCCGAGCACAGTCGCTTCTTACCAGCCCCCTCGTTCCCTTTATCCCTTTCCCCGTATACCCGTCTTTGCCGCCCCCTTTGCAACCCTTTAAGGTCGCCTTTCCAGCGGATATCAGCATTAAACCCCTGGGAGACGTGATGTCCTTTTCAATTTCTCCGTCGCCTGTGGGATGAGGATAGCCAAGAATGCGAAGCTTTGGAACGGCTCTGAAGTTTGCGAACTCCATCATACTTCCGCATTTTCGCATATGATGGAAGATCGCGCATTTTTTATGTCAGTTACGCCATGCAGAAATTGTCCGTCCGTGTGCGTGTGCTTGATTTGAAAATGATCCGGATTCATCACGCGGGCTAGACATGTCGGGTACGTAGTTACGATCTTCTTCTGAGGTGGCTAAACTCAGAAAAGACGAAATTTTATAAACAGACAGGCGTATAAGAGAACGGTCGTTTCGCAACGGCGCAGTCGCCGGCTTTCGTAACTGCGAAAATTTGCGGCCTCCCACCGCCAACGGGCTCGCTATAAATCAGTTGAAATTTGTTATGCGCGGCACGCAGATGGTTTTGTTATATGAAAATATGTGCCGCGCGGGGATGGTGTGTAAGTATCCCTCGGTAAAACACGTCCCTTATATCCCGCGCGTACCCTCGGCCCCGGTCGCCTCGCCCCGCTTCTTACACCCCCCCAGACAGGCCCGAGGCGTCATGCTGTTCTGCGCTCTCTTTAATTACACCCCGAAACCGGGACGCGTGACGTATTGCCGTGTGGCGAAAGGGACAAAAAAGCGACCTCGACTTCGAGCTAGAATCGCCGATCTGCAGCCTCGGTCGTTAATCAACGCCTCGATCGGCGATACTTAATGTTTCCAGAATACGTTTCGTGCGTACGAGTGAGAATTACCGGGAAATTGTAGCTGCGCACTCTCATTTACTTAATTTTTAGTTTTTATGCACTTTCAACTGATCTACAATAAATTTTTTTTTACATCTGTAACATCGCATCTTTCGTAAAACAATTTTGAACCTCATGTATTTGCAGATTAAGAATTTTAAGAGCAATCTTGAATATTTTATCAAAAGATTTATTTATTGAAACTTGAGTGTATTGAGTTTTTTCTAAAGAAGGTTGCCCTTGAAATTTGTTGATTCGCTGAAATTTTAGGAGATGTAACTTGAAGGATTTATTGGAAGAAAGTCCAGCGATGGAGGGGCCACTTAAAGCGTTGGCCCGGTCAGCGCTAAATATTTGATCAGAATTCGATTGGTTTAAGACGTCAGCCGGTAAGCGAGGGTATGCTCATGGGACGAACGAAAAGAAAAAAAATAGGAAGGAAAGAGGAGAAAGCTCGACGAATGGACGGACAGTTAGTAGCTAGACGACGACGGAGTATTCCCTCGAGCTGAACGGCAAAATGATGTCCAACCAAACAGCTCAGCTGTCCCGGTCACAGCATTTTTCTCTTACTATATCAACGATCTTAAATCTGCTTTAAAATCTTCTCTGTCGCTCACTCTCTCGCTCCCTCCTTGTTTTTGCCATGCTATAGAAAGTGAATGACAACGGCATCTCGAAGCGGTCTAGAATTAAAGACAGTTCCGATACCGTTAGCTTCAGACTTATAGAGATGATGCAACTTAAAAGACATACTACTTGCATTGTTAATAAAAAGCACGTTTTAAAACGTTTGCTCAGACTATTATCATTTTATTCGATGTATCGCGGGAACAAAGTAGTAGAACAGCGATAGAATATTGATTTTTAAATGAACTTAAATAGAACTTTTTGTCGATATAATATTTCAACATCTTAGGCGTAATCTAATCGCGATAAGTTTACCTTTGTTTAGTTATAACAATTAAATTCATTGCCGTTTTCATGCGCGAGTCGTTAGCAGCAGCGAATGAGGGAGGCACAAAGGTCGAATCGCAAAATTCATGCGAATCCACGTGGTGCCAAGTGGGGTGCATTAGCCAAGTTCCCCATTATCCACGCGTGAGAGACCCCTAAATTATCCGGCGCTCGCCTAGCGCCGATCTCGCCCACCCTCGCACGTTGGCGAGAAAAAGACGTATGACTGCCTTTTCTCGAGAACACCCCCCGACAGACTTCAGGACTGAAGCTACTAACGCGTGATTTTCGCAATTGCAAAGGAACTCGCTACGTATCAATATATTTACGAGAAGAACGTTCAGACTGTCGTTATTTTTGTCAAGCTTTGTCCATGATTTGTCTTCACAATTTATTCTTTCGATTACGCCATTAATCTAATAGACTGACATTGAGAGGGACGCTATTACAAATAATACTTTCTGGCCAAAAACACTGATATCTTGGGAGTATAGCAGATCTGATTCGCTACGCCTTTAACATAACTGCTAAAGAATTATGATTCGTCGATAATTTGTCTAATTGGGATTTAAGAAGAATATCAGAGAACTGACGAAGGACATTGGAAGACAGAGAACCGAGGAAAGTCAAAGGGAGAAGAAGAAGTGGATCGAGGACAAGAAGGAGAGAGAGAGAGAGAGAGAGAGACAAAGAGATGGGGAGAGAGAGAGAGAGAGAGAGAGAGAAGAGAAGGCGAGAGACAGAATCCGAAGAACCGCCAGGAAGATAGAGAACGCAAGTTTGGGCTATCTCTCCGAGCACAGTTCTAAGGAGCTTCCTTTAGACTTTAGTGACGTGATGTCGCCTAATACCCTAATCCTTGCAAAGGAGACACCATCGTCCGCCTCGAGTCATCGTGTTCTGTTTAACCATCTTCTTATGACCGCACTATGGTCAAAAATTGTTAATTGATTGACGAGTACATATTTTTTTTAATCACTCACATCTATCTCAAAAAGTCTAATAAATCTTGCCCAATAGTATATAACTGTATAAACTATTTAGATTCAATTTTAAAAATTATGTCCAACATACTACGTGATACTTAATAACAATTAGTATATAAATTAATGTATATTTACGTTGCATTTGTTGTTAAAACTTATTTCTCTTAAAAGTCTTTTGTTTAATTTATTTAAATTAAATTAAATTATTGCGGCAAAAAAATAATACGTTACTATTATAACTTTGTCTTTAATATAACTTAACTTATTTTATAAGAAGTCTCTTAGGTAAAACATGGCGACGTGTTAAAAATGTTTTATGTTGCCAGGCAGGGAAATTCCATATTATTCGATAGCCATAAAATTTAAATCACTATAACGAACAAAAATTTGAGCGTATTTGTTACCTCACGAGATATATTAAAGACGCTTGTAGCAACTTCCGACGGAGACTTCGACGATGTTTTCTTTTGCGAGAATTTAAAGTCAGCCACATCTGCTGGGTTATTCACTTGTATTAAAACTATGCCTGCTTTTTAATTATTCTCCACAAACCGTAAAGGTTGACACATAATTGGTGGGTGAACTAGGACGCATCGATCCCCAAATTGAAGGAATTCCAGCTCTTTTTTACGTCGTGTTCTTTCCTTTCCCCCTTGTCCGACCCGCCCTTACCCCTTCCACTATCGAAGGCCAGTTTCAAGAGAGCATTGGTCCGCAAAGAAAAGTGATAATGTCTTAAGCCGCCGGTGCGATTTAACTTCCGATTTTGGACGAGGGCACTCCCGCCGTCCTCCCACCGCAGTCCATAGCAAGAGTTCGTCGCTCTAAACTCCCGGCTACGTGGTCTGAGGAGGGTTTAAGGTTTAAGGGAAGCTCTCTCATTCCTTGGGATCCTAGGGAGCTCCGCTAAGCGCTGACGTTGATCCTGCTCTTCTTCTACCTCCGCTAGCTCCAGGAGCTCGGGTTTATCTAATTCCAGTAGGTTCCTCCTATCGCTGTAAACCTTACAAGCGTACCAAAGGGTGAACGTTGTGCAGTTAAAGGCCTAAAGTCTTACAAGTCATCAGAAAGATAGGCAATTTGCTAGTTTGAAATAATTTCTAATCGTTAAGACATTCTGCTGAGATATTTTCTTAGATATCAAATTCAGGCTAGACTTGGTTAAAATGGGCAATATTAAAATATTAAAAAAGCTTATTATTAGCTATGTAATTCATAATTTCGGAATTTTTGCTCTCAAATAACTATAAATGCTTTATTTCTTATGCATATATGTGTGAGTACTGTTTGACGAAAGATTTGATGCTTGCTACGTTAATATTTGTTTATATATTTGAAATTATGTACACTATATTTCACCACAACATCGAATTCGTAATGACTTTCGAGATCTGCTCAACTACCGTCTTATATCATCGCTTATCAGAAATTCTATGAAGAGAAAATTACAAATCTGCTATAAGCAAAGTTATTTCTGTTCAGACCGACAGAGATTTCACTTTTCCTTTGAAAATTCAGCTGCGCAAAGAACTCGCGAGTTGTGAAGGGAGTAGATCCGCGAGGTCGCTGGCCGGGACCAATGTTACTCGGATTCCTAAAGCGGCAAAGAGAACCAGGTAGCACGTACATACAGTGGCGCGTCAGCCCGAGGGATAGCGGAGGGGTAGTAGTACATATATCTATATACACATATATATAATATATATGTACATGTGTATATATGTACATGTATATGTAGACGCGAGTGGATATAAGCGAGAGAGGTGTACGAAGCACGTACCTCAACACACTGGAAAAGAGAGAGAGTCCTAGGTGTGCACCCAGGAACCGTGTCCCCTTCTACGATAACCAAGGCGGGGGTCGAGGTGAGCAAGGGGGATGTGCAGAAGGGCTGGGAATCGTGCTCCAGCCGAGCTCAAGGGGGTGGACAGTGCGCAGAACCCGCCCCCACCTTTCGCGACGAAGCAGAAGCCGTCGACTGCCCGCGCAAGTCTTCATCCCCTCCGCGGGCGACGGAAGATCGCCACCCCCGAACGAACTTAAACATAGCACAGTAGCTCGCGAGCACCTCGTCTGAAAGGGCCCATCGCGTACACGAGCCGGACTTGTGTTATCTATATATGTATGTATATATATATATGTATACATATACATACATATGTATATATAGTTGTATATGTATATATATATATATACATCGGCGGTTTGTCAAGCGCGCGTGTCTTCACCGTGTGCGTGCGCGCGTGCGTGTCACGCAGTGCTTGTCTAAATATCTCGAATCCGTCGCAAGAACGAAGCAAGATAGAGTGTGCCCCGCTATAGAAAAAGATAAATAACACGAAAAGAGCCAAGCGATCGTTCACCAGGACAAACAGGGAGAGAAAGAGACAAGGAGAAGTACAGACGCATCTCAGCTGCATGATTCTTCGCAGAATGATTCTTCGGATTCGTGACCACGCACTCGACAATCTTTGGCGGATATCAGGTGAATTCTCTTGAGAGATAGACCTTTAGACTTTGAACGCGCTGTTAAGTGTAGATGACGAAGGGAAAAAGAAAAGTGACCTGTGGGAGGCGCTGGGGATCCTTCTCTAACGAAAGAGCAGTGCGGATCCTGAGCGAGATGGATTATTTTTCTCGTTAGATTGCGCCGGCGTTGAAACCGACGATTTTGCACTCGTGTACCGAACGCACCTCTTGCGTCTCTTGCGCCCGCATGGCAGAGCAGACTTGCTGATCCTCTGGAATTTTTGTGTTCCAGGGTGGAACTGACCAGCGTGCCGGGCGGACAGAATGCGATGGCTCATCTCAAAAAGCGGAAGCTGGAAGCAGAGTCGGTTACGCAGAATCCTAAACAAACGCAGCAGCCGTCGCAACAGTCGCAGCAGCAATTGTTGATCGGCAAGAAGGGCCTGCAGACGATCGCGCCGCAAGAGATGGAGATGACTGACGCCGCGACGAAGCGGAGGAGGAAAAGCGTTCGTGATGATGATGTGCGAAAGATCGACATCGTCGTTGATCCCAACAAAAACATACCGTTGCCCCAGAAGAAGCGCGCGTTTACATCGAGTAACTTGGGTAGTCCTGCCAGGAAGTCGAGCAAGCACAGCGAGGAACCCGAAGACGACGAGACTCTTATAAGAGAAACGGAAGCCGCGTTGAAGAGTCTGTCAGGTAGCTGGCCGGGACCTAGAGGATCCTTGTATCAAAGAGGCAATTCGGACGAGGATAGATACGAGTCTAACTTTGAGAATCTCTTCGAGGAAAAGAAAGAAAATCCTAAATTATCGCCCTCGTCGATATCAACGTCTTCGAGTGCGAGTAACGACACCGGTTGTTCGTTGAAGGACGTGATAACTCTTCGCGGACAACAGGATCGATCGGGTAAGATGCAACAGAATAAACAGCAAGAACATTCGAGACAACCACAGCATCCGACGAAAATTAAGAAAGACCTGGACAATCTGTTGAAGATAGAAAACGAATGCGCGAACATTCAGTCTCAAGTTAACAACGTCAATCAGAACGAACCGCCGAAAATTAGACCGATTTCCGTTCGTTCGTTGGCAAGCAAAGAGAGGAACGAGAGGAACGTGGTGAGCGCACACATCGACTCTCAGGGAAGGCAGTCGGACAAATATTCCAGATACGATCCGCCGGACTTCAACGAGTTAGTCGATGATTCGTCCAACGAACTAGAAATTGACATGTCGGATCCGGCCGCTGACAAGGACGAGAGCGATCGGGACAGATCAAACGACCGGGAACGGGATCGGACATGCAAAAACGGTCAATCACCTCAAAATATTAGTAGGCAACAGCAGCACCAACCACTTTACACAAACTATCAAAGACAATATAACGATACCAATATGAAAGTCTCATCTACGGGGACTTCGTCGTCCTCGTCGCCGCCAGTGAGTTCTCCGTTCTCGGCAACATCTGCCTTCAGGCCGCCTAACACAGATCATTCGAAAGCATCGTGCCGCAGCTCTTCGGCGATCCCGCCGATCGGTCCATATCCAGCCGCCGCTACATTTGTGGGATATCCGACGCCCGGGCCAACGATGCCGACGCCGCAGCCTGTATCCGGCATCTCGCCCGCGTCCGAGGACAAGCACTCGTCTACAGTGTCGTTATTGCAGCTGAAGTCGTCAAAGGAGGAGAGTCATCATGTGACGACTCATGATGTAACTAGCAATTCTGTGTCTCCTAGCAAGAGCCCTACCGGCGGTCCACCTTCCGTCACGAGTCCCGATTCCTCGAAACAATACACGATCCTTCAGCCCGCAGGGGTGGGCTCCAGAGCGGCCAGTGCGATTCAGGATATCGCGAGGGAAGGGGTGGTGAGTGTTGCCGCTGTGAGCAGTTGCACCGCCGCGAGCAACGGCAGTGCGAGCAACGTCAACACCGCGAATGCGAACGGCAACGGGGTGGTCGGCAATAAAACTGCCAACGGGAACAACGGCGCTAATGACAGCAGCAGCACTGCGAATCCTGCCGGGAATCCTAATGCAAACAGCATCGCCAGTATAACCATTACGACCGTGTCGACGACTACCACTACGTCTAGTCCGACAGTCGCTGCTGATGTGCCTTCGGCGAACGGCCAGCAGGACAATGTCATGAAAATGCCAGAGAGACCCGGCACTTTCGACAGTACCAGGCCGGGAATGTCTATGTCTCCGTCCAGTCTCGGCAGAGGTGAGGATTTCTTGTCTCTCGCGTTATGAAATGGTATATATCTCTAAATTGATATTAATGGAACTAATATTGTTCTGGTTGATTCATCACGATGGAATTATTTGCAGACATTTTTTTGAATTATAAATCCGACAAATAAGAAGTTTCGAAATTATAAAATAAAAATAAATATATATATGAAAAGGAAATGTACTACAAATTAATATTGTTACTGATACTGACGCGATCGCCTTTTTCAGTCAGATAAGATATGAATTATATTTTGAAAAATATTGGTGTTTAAGTTCATACTGATACTACAATAATATCAACGCAATCGTTCGTAATTACTCAATTTTCAGCGAGATTTTCAGTTTTCTAAAATACTGTATCAATTCTCCGAAACAATAGATATCTCATTATTTCGCGATCAATTCTAATGTGGGTAATTAAAGTTTGTTAAAATATGAAAGATCTTGCTACGACGATACATTTTTTCTTGCATACATATATTGACGTACGCCAGTTTTGTAAAGAAAATATATACATTACGAGCATAAGGGAAAAGTAAATACAAACAATGCAGTTTCCAAGATTAAGATATACCGCACTTTAAAAAGATTTTAAAAAATTAATAGACTTTTTAAATTTCTTTGGAATATAAATGCGCGCATAAAAATTGGAACTCTTTAAATTATAGAGATAGTAATCGTAAGTCGTGGTAGGGTTACCGCTCGTGTGTTATACGTTACGAGAGGGGACAAAAGGCATTTTCGACTCTCTTGGTTTCGCTGTTCCTCTCCCTGTCTCTCTTTCTCTCTGTCTTCTTCTCTCGCTTTCTCTGTCTTGCTCTCTATGAAGTTAGGGGAGTTAGGGCAGCACAGAAAATCAATAATTACGAAGCGAGGGGTGATGACTCAAATGCTGAAATCAAGGTCTCTTCGAGCAAAATTATTCTCTCTGTATCCTATGATACAACCACACATTCTACACATCTCTTAATTCTCTTCTACTCCTTTTTTATTACTCAAAATGCTTTGGATTTGAGGAACTATATTCTAAATACGCGGTACTAGAAAATACTTCGCAAAGTAACAGCGCTTTAACTGCATTGAAATGCCTTCAATCGTCAATAAACGGTCAATGAAATTGATTTGGTGATTAGACGCGATAAGTGTAATACGCGAAAGAAAAGTAAACCGCGATCTTTCTTCTGAGAAGACTTAAAGAGTCAAAGTTATCGCGCGTTAGACTGTAGATTCGCCATGGTGTGACAGGTGGAGGTTCGAGTGCATTCCAGGGTCTTAGGGCAGCGAAGACACGACGTGTCTAGTCGGGGAAATTTGGGGTTGATACCACGTCATACGTATAAGCCGCAGCTGTCAGCGGCTGGAAACGTGACTAGCATCCCAGCCGCTTCAAGCCACCTTATTACCACCCTGCGCTTGGCTGCCTGTCCTCATTATCCCCTTAACGTTTTCTCCGGCCGGTGGCTGCGAAGATGATCGCTTTCAAGAATTCAATCTCTCGTGTTTGATTTCGCATCTGTAGCGCGAAAAACGCACGAGGAATTAATTCTACAAATAATCGTGATAATTTTTAAAAATAGAAAATGCAAATAATGTTCATAATCTCGACTGCTTATGTAGACATTGGGTAACTAAAATAGTTTTCTGGGTTGCAAAATCTCAGATAAAACTATACGACATGATAAATGGGCTCGATTAAGCGCGCACTTATCAGCGTGACGGCGATACAGTCGTATCGGAGTCGGTCAAGTTGGGGTTTTAATCAAAAATCTCTATCACCCTTTCTCTCTTTCACTCTTTCCTTTCTACTCTGCGTTCCCTCTTTCTCTCTTACTGCCGAGAGTTGCTCTTGATCTCTTCGATTTAGCGTGACGATCGCGTGCGCTGTGTATTTTTTTTTTATTCACCGCACGCTCACATGCAGGCGTGTATAAGGGCGTGTTGACACGCCATAAAATCGCTATCGGGAAATCCGTCGGCCGCAAAAACCACCCTTTCCGCGTCGAGAAAGATCGGCCGCGCGCGCGCGACGGGGTCGAGTCGGCTAATAAAAAAATAAACTGCCCTGTAACTCAATTTTACGCTGCCTTTGCGACCGCACGCATAAAAAGGACCTTTACTCGCGCGCGAGGGCTCTACCCTCCCTTTAAGGGCGCTGCGCGCCTCCGTGTGTAAATATCCACTTTGTGATTGTTCCTCGCGCTGTTCTCTTTTTTTAGAACCTCCGATCTTTTCCTTATCCAGCGTGTCCGGCATGCGATTTAGCGCGGGGAAGTGTCGGAGGACTATTATACGCATCGGGTATCTCGTACAATCGTGCAATTTTATATCGGTTCTACCAGAGAGGTTCCTATATAAAACCACTTACAATCTCGTGCGATTGGATTTACATATTGTATTAAACTCGTCGCTACGCTCGCATCGCGCGCTGTGAAATAAATATTTACTCTTGCCAGAGTAATCGAAGTTTATTTCAAAACACGTTACGCTATCCTGTCAAGAACTCAATGTCATGTCAAGATAAATGTTGTAAGAGCAAGAGACAGCATCGTACAATCGCGTGTACTAAAGATATCCGATGCACCTGGATTCACAAGGACACCTCATGACACGCGACTCAACGATTCTTTTCGTTCTTTGAGAATATGAAGACGTTTTATCATGCAATTAACTACGTAAACGAAATGATACATTTTGTAAGTATTGGAAATTAAGGGATATCGGATACTGTTGAAGCTGTTTGTATATTGTACACACTGTAAAATAAATCTTAATAACGTTAATTATGTTTCTTCGTATCTTATTTTATTTGGCGAGAGTAGTATTTAATTATCGATGAAGATAAAATACTGAAAATACATAAATTTCAAGTAAATAACGCGCAAATAAATCCAATTTATAATTTAGCGTATGAAATGTAGGCATTATATATATTATCAATGTGCACTTTCGTCCTGGGGTTAATTGACTCGTGTGAATATTCATCCATTACACGTGAATACTCAATTGCGCTGATTAACGACTTTTGACGGCGAATTAATAATTAGCGACCGTCGGGCGCTCAATTCTCCCCGATTATCTTGACGACGGCGATGATTTTTCGTGGCGCCGAACGCGAAAGTCTCGGCGCGTGTCGCGCAAGCTGGACGAAATAAAACAATCCCGGTGTTTATATACACGTCTACCCCTTCCGCGGACCCCTCACGTGAAATGGCTACAAAATAACACAATTACAACACGACCACGGGCTCACCCTCGGTGACCGGCGCTCGTCCTCGTTCTCACCCCTTGTAATCTCGCTCTTTTCTCTCTTCCCTCCGATTCTCGTTGCTCCATTACAGCACCGTTGCAGGGAAAAAAGAAACGAAAAGAGAGAGAAAGAGAGAGATTTGCGATAGAGGGAAGAGGAGGATAAGATCTATAAGGGGAGACAAAGAGAGAGGAGAGATGGTGAGAAAGAATGAGATAGGAGATAGGAGAAAGGTAGGAAAACGGAGGCAGGCCTGACCGACTCGTTACAAGTCTATTCAGACATCCGGAAAGAACAGCGCGTGCCGGTATTCATTTTGTTGACCGGAACCATTATCTGCCCCTTTGCTCGTTTTTTTCTCTCTCGTTCTCTTTCTCACTTTTTCCTTTCAACCCCAAGTTCAGCCACCGACGTGGCCGCTTTAAAACCTTATGGCTAATTTATTAATCCTACCAGGGCAACCGCTCGCCCTCAGTTATCCGGTAAACCTTTTTTTACCCGGCACTAATTAAAAACCAGGAAGCTTCGGCGATTCTTCCTCGAAGTAAAAATAACACCGATTTCCTCTATCGCAAATTTAATAAGATTTGTGACGCGTTAGTTTGATGTCCTCTGTGCTTTAGTTTATTTCGCAACTGGACCCACTTTTATTCGAAAGAGCAATCGAGCAATTCTTTGACTTTAATCTCTGGGAAACTCTGCGATTTCGAAACAAAATTAATCCGCGGAGTTTCTTCTCGAGGAATTACGCAGGGTTTCGAACAATCCAGACGGCGTGTGCCGTCGTTCAACTTTGAAACTCGGGGAGCTTCGTGGTCCGCAAATAAAGCATGCCGCTAATGACGTCACGTATCGTAATCCAATTTATGGGGAGGTGGGCGGATGGTGCCGCTCGCCTTAAGAAAAAGGCGAACACCTAAGTAGGGATCGACTTTTCTTTCTCTATCCATCTTTCCCGTCGGCTCTCGCTCTCCTGAAACGCGAAATGACGACCTGATGAAGTTTCTCGGCGTCACGGCACTCGATTGGCGAGCCCGGAGACGTAGCTGGCTAAGGGATCAGGCCCGGGCGGAGGATTAGTACACGACAAAGTTTATAAAAGTGCGCTCACTTCAGAGAACCCCGTCAACTAACCTAAAGCTGGCCTCCCCTTAAGATTCCTCCGAAGTCCTTTCCCATACCCCCTAACACGCGTGATAAACCTACCTATATTCCCCGTCGCGGCCACTGCGATGACGTCCAGCACACAAATGATCTCATAAAACGAGATCACTGCTTTCGACTTTACGAATCGGTAAAGAAAAAGTTGAAATTTAGAAATTTATATTTTTATAGTCATTTCATAAATTATTATCGAAAAAATATTTATTTCTTTCTTTTTGCTACGTATTGCATTGTATTATTATTATTATTATTAATATTATTATTATTATTATTATTACATTACATAATTATTAGCATATATAAAAAAAATTAAAGATATACTTATTGGTATAAACTGTCTGGTGAAAGCTTTGTAAAAATGATGCGCTTGATGATTATGAGCAAATTATTGTTAAATGGATGTCTCTTATGGAAGCTTGAAGATATAGCATGTGAATGAAACATACCTAATATAGCTTTCAGCCGATCACGCTGTCTAAGGATTGGGTAGGAACCTTTAGTTACATTTATCGCTCACGATTGAAATAAAGAGAACCTTGCCGAAGGGTCTCATATTAACCGATTGGTACTTCTCGGCTACCTGCAGTGCACTAGAAACCCGTAATTGTCTGGTCACGCGAGGTCGTCTCGGGAATACGAACGCGATCATACGTGACGTGCGCTATACCCACCATTAAGTTAGAACTGGCGCACGACAGATGGTACAATTGGTTGCTTGAGCATGCTCGTCTGGCACCGGTCATACTTTCGTGTCGCAAGAACAGAAAGGACTTGAAAAAAGTTTCGAAAAAATTTAGAAATTATACCGACGAATTATCAGCTAATGCAGATCTCTAATGGGCAAGGATTGTGTATCTTTAAATAGATCCTGACGAAAGGCATCGTGCCGTGCGTGTCTGCGACAACTTACTCACAAATGGAGATATTTGCAATTTGCGAGCAAAAATCTACGAACTATTATTGAGCGTGACGCTTTTCTCACTCGGCCGAATAATACAGAACGAATAACGAATAATACGAAAAAATAATGCATAGATAGGGAGGAACGAAATATCACGTGGCGAAACTTTTCCCCGATCGCTGGCAAGTTTCGCTCTGTCGCGCGGGAATGAGGTATCTATCTGGTCTTTGTTTCGCGGACAGTTGTAGGCCGGCCACATACCCCGTGCTAATCCCGAAGGCTTAGTCACGGGACAGAGAAATCCCAGAGGCTATTCACAAATGCGTAACTCGTGCGACGAGATCCAGGCTGACCACACGCGAGGCCATTTCCACCCTTCTGGACCGTCCTTTCAACTTTCACTTGGGGCCTCTCGCCACAGGATTGGGGAAACTCATCCTGAAAAATGCTACTAAATAGCATGCACGCCCGACAAAGCCGTATAAATTTTTTAGGGGAATCTCTTTTTGAAATATATCTCTAAAGACAGTTATAGACAGAGAGATTAAGAATATAATATATATATAACAAATTGTTATTACGAGATATAAAAAATCTTATACAAGCAACATATCTAATTTAAATATACAATATATTCGAAACATAATTTTTTCTTTTTATACGTTTATTTATTTTATAGCCAATAATCATATAAAATTGAAATATCATTGGATTGATACAAAAATGCAGAAATTTTTAGAATTCTTAGGCCTATTAATTATGACTTTCTTCATATTATACGTACATATCTAGCGAGATAACTTTTTTTACATATATGAATTATTTAATTTAAGAATTGAAATAGACATGTGTCTCTCGCCGTACTTGCTCGCAGAGTCTTTCGCCTAGGCTGTTCAACGTTCTCTGTGAAGGATAACGTGATATATTGGCAAACGGGGAGTAAGCTATATTCTGGTTCGATGTGCAGAATGAAACTACGCGACGATGTCGGACACGTCGGCTGTCAGCCATTCAATAGTTAATTTCCATTCAACTGCTCACGTCGCTGGTAATACCGCATGCGAGCATACCGAAATATCATATTATTTTTTATATACTTTTCATGTTCGCATATTTTTTAATTTTAAGATCATAATAAAATAGTTAATTAATATTCCTTTTAATATATTTATTGGTTAATTGTAAATTATTTTAATTTGCAAAATAATACGTTCCTGTATACGTTACAATACTTATTCACGAAAGACCGTTTCATAAATAGTATTGGCGTAAAACTCGTTATATCGAAGACAAAATTTAGATAACGTAAACTCGTCGCGTTAGTAATGTCCTAATATCTCCGTTTAAAGTATTGGATTCGTACGCGCATTCGGAGGAGGAGTGGATTGCGTGTGATATTTTCCGCGTCGATTGGCCGCAAGTGCAAGATTATAAAACCAAATGCAATAACAACGCATTAATGCGTATTAAGCCAACGCCGTATTCCAGTCGACACGCGTTCCTGCCGTGGAACAACACTCGTCGACAGTGTAAATATCCAATTTATTCAGAATTACAGTCCGCTTGTGTCGGGATCATCAATTTCGATGCAGAAATAACGCGTTGCAGAGACAGTATAATGTCATGCGCTCAGTGTCATTGTAGTGTATAATTAATATCAGAATGCAATGAGCTGAGATAGATTTTCCCTGTCATGTTTTCAGCTTCTTAGCATTTGACTTATTATTAAAATTTATCACAAGAATCCCGCGATTTGCGCTTATTAATGACTACATATAGTATACTATTCGAATAAATTCTTTATTTTTTGTATGAATATGTGAAATTTTAGAAATCTTATTATTATATGATACTAAATAAATTTTGCGAGTTTAGTTTCTTTTAAGGGAACAATATTTAAGTGATGCATCTCGCATACTTAATGTGCTAAAAATTCAATTAAGCCTAGATCGGAGTGAAGCTCACGTAAAGCTAATTGTAAGCTCGTACGAGCTTAACGGCTAAGCTCGACTAAAAACTAGTATACGTCGTATCTCATGAATATCTGAAACGGCACTTAATAGACTAACATCTGGCTCTGCGTGGCGGTTTGATTTGTTACAGAGGGCAACAAGTGCCCGACCCCAGGCTGCACGGGGCAGGGTCACGTGACCGGACTCTACTCTCACCACCGCAGGTAAGCAATTATCGATAATTAACCTGCGCTCCGCACTCACCCACGGCCGATTACACACCTACGCGGTTTTACGTGGAGAATCGAGCGGGGCGTTATACAGAAACTGCAGACATCAATAAGCCAATTCGCGATCTGCATATATATCGAATCCTGTGTACTGCTGAAGCAATAAATGTGTGCGTGTTGAGCACTTAAAAAAATAAATAAATAGAAGAAAATTTTTTCGGCTTTAATGCGTGCTGCGTATATAATTTTTAAGAGAAAAGCTGAATATCTCAAACCTTAAATCCTATTAATCTTAAACCTTATTAAACAGTTTCTGTGTTTACAGTCTTTCTGGATGTCCACAGAAGGATAAGTTAACTCCAGAGAGTAAGTACTATTTTCTTAAACTAATTACTTCTTATTGTAGCTATATAGTGCATCTTCTTTTTGCGAGAGTGTCTTTTTCTCTTGAGGCGAGGAAGTGAGAGTGAATCATTGTTGTGGATTAAAACAAATTTTACAATTAAACAATCTTATCACTACAAATAGTACAAATAAATAATGGCATTACTTTTGTTTGGAAATTTTTATGTGTAATCATATTCTAAAAAAATATATCTACATCCGAATATCATATTTTTCAAATAATGTTTGCTTTTGGGAGGCAATTGGTTCGGTCTCTAATTTGGTTCGCTTTTTCTCCGAAACCATTTTCGATCAGCCTCATCATCCACAAAAGGCCATTGTTCTCCGCGGCTTCATCGCCTCATTAAACGCAACAAAAAATGTATCTTCGATACACGAAGTCAAATTAGAAAGAGAAAATGGATATTTTTCAGCGTTGAGCGCGATGCACGCGTCGCGTATATGCGTGTGCGAGTGCGCGAGTGTGCGTGTGCGTGTGCGTGTATATCTGTCTGTTGTATATTCTTTGCGCTTTTCGTTTGCGGGGTAGAGAGCTTTATTTATTGCGTTCCTTTTCGTTTTTTGATTTATCGTCCTGTTCGTAGTTCATTATATAGTAGAGAATTATATCACCACACTCTCGAACTTGGTTGATACTGGTCGTGCCTATGAACCCTCTGGAGAACTCGAGACACGGGCGGCGCGACGGGCCCGGCGTATGCGCACACGCCGGACACTTCACACACGGAGGACACTTGTGCGATTGAGTATAATTACGCAAAGAATTATACGGATGATCCAGCTTCCCATCGACGTGCGAGTTTCCGCAACGACAGATTCCGCCCTCCTACCCCTCTTTCCCTCAATGACAAATCGAGCCGCTGCGCACGGAACGCCGACTGCATGCATCAGCAGCGCAAATGGGCGTAAAGTCCTCTACTTTTTATTTCTATTTATGATAAGTTCGCCCTCTCGATCCCTTCTCCCCGAGAACGCAGGATCTTCCAAGGCATCTCAAACTCGAGCGTTTGCTATATCGCTCGCTCGCTCGCGTACGACGGGAAAACGTCGTTGTTCTCATCGACGTAGCACACCACCTCACACAGATTGCAAGTTGTTGTGTTATAATTTTCTGTCGATTAATTGATTGTCTTTACTTGTGTTTCTCTCTACCCGCTCGGTATACTTGATTGTACTTGTTACACATTAATTTGAGTTCCACACGTGATGTGACGCCGTGTACTCTATCTTTTTATCATTCTCCGATCCGTTTTACTGTTTTTCGTTCCCTCCCTCTTACAAATGTGTACTAAAACGTGCGGATTTCTCCTAATTTCTTCTATTCGGGTCCGTTTCGCGAATCGAGGAACGACACACTTGTCGCATCCAGGTCTGATTCTGTCTCTCCCTTTCGCGTTTCTTCTCGGGAAACCGCGCGGTGTCCAACGCAGATAATTATACTCAATGCATAAAGACAGCTCGCCTTAACGACACTTTATCACACCTGCCGCGTGCGTGTGCGCCGCGTCTCTCTCTTTCTCTCTCTCTCTTTCTCTCTTTAATTGTGTGTAACGCGCGTGTGTAAGAACGTGCCAAGAACGTGTGTCTGTAACCACGCCACGTGTCTCTGGGTTCTCGCAGTTCTGGCGATGCATGAGACCATATTGAAATGTCCGACGCCTGGTTGCAACGGCCGCGGTCATGTCAGCTCCAATCGGAACACACACAGGAGCCTGTCTGGATGTCCCATCGCCGCGGCCAATAAGCAGGCCGCACGCGAGGCACGACAAAAGGCTCAAGGTAAGGCAGTGTGCAGGACGTCGGGTGTGTCCGCGATACCGGACACGAAAATACTGTGTTAATGTCGCTGTTCCAAGCGACATTAACGCTTATGTAAATGCTGCGAATAAGATAAGGAGGCTTGTGATTCTTGTGTGTAAAACATCCATCTCGCGTTCCTTTCGCAATCCGTTGCGCTCCCGCGTGTCTTGATTGCTCTCACTGCGGTAAAATTGCGAGAATAAATTCGCTGCGAAGTTTTTGCATGGATATATACGGCACGTTTGCGTTTACTGGAAAAAAAAACACAGAATTATTATATATCGCATATGCACAGTTGATTGCTAAATATCGCTGACAGCTTTGAAATAATTCTATATTTATTGTCATTTCCTCGAATTAGATTTGCATTTTAATTTTTACGCGACATTTTTACAGTTTGTGATTTATTTCGAACAACTCTGATGATATAGTATTAATGGTCCAGTTAAAGATATAACGATTTGAAATATTCTTCATTTTGGAGAAAGTTTCATGTTCCATTATAGTCTCTATAAATTCGATCATCAAGACTTTTGACAAATATTGTATGTAGATAAAAAAATACTGTTAAGCAGTATTCAAAGATTGTAATTATATTATTATACATATATAGATTATGCGCTACGTATGTCATTCAGAAAATTTCTTCAGTCGTTATCTTCTTAAACTTATTGTAAATATCTTATAGCAACCGATAACTGCATGCTTTTTGAAATGGTACTAGTGAGCGTTACAGTGCTTCTTATTGTTAGTAGCAAAAAGTAACAAAATCTCTATTATGATTTTTAACATCATGAAATTCATTATCTCACACAACTTGTTATACTTTTATACAAAATTTACTAAATACGCAATCTTCCGCGATAGTGCCGGGAATTCCACCAGAGTACATCAGCACAAATCTGTTACCCCCATCAATGGACACGAAGAGCTATTCGCAGTACGGTTCCGCAACGCAAGACACGAAACCCGTACTAAGCAGCCTGACTTACGACTATTATTCGTCGACGACGAAGAACGCCGTGATTAACGTAAAGCCACCGAAAACGCCGGAAGACAACAGCACGTCGCGTCCCGCGAAGGTGCCCAAGACGGAGAATATGACTCTCAGCAGCAGTTGCTGCAACGCATTGTCCATGAGGAATCAAAACACGAGCGACTTGTTGGTCAAGACGGAGGATGCTGCATCCTGCAGAGTGAATTCGCCCCCGCCCCCGCCGCCTCCCGCGGTACGACAAACGTACGATTCTTACATGAGCCAAGATTCGAACTCCTCGTCCATGTCGTCTATGGACGCGATGGGCTCGAGGTCATCCATAGGAGCGACGATCCATCACCCTGGCCAGCATCCGACGCATCACGTGCTACCGATGCAGCCGGTCGCCTATCCAATGCCGATGGTGGAAGACACCAGGATGAGCCATCAAATGTCCCAAAGATCCCCTTACGAGCCCACCGCCATGATGGCCGCGGCAGCAGCCGCGGCAGCCGCCGCAACCACTACGGAAGAGCTCTATCATCACAGATCGGCTGAACACGCGAGAGCATATATGCATCCTGGTGCTAGCAATATCGCGCGACCAGTGGTAACGTATTCCAATGACATAGCGGCTGGTAGAGGCTACGAGAACGCGGTAGTGAGCGCGGCCAATCATCGACCCTACGATCCCGGTACCACCGCGACATATGAAAGATACGATACACAGTCTTGCGCGCCTATCCCATCGCAGCAACAGCAGCAGCAACAACAGCAGCAGCAGCAACAACAACAACAGCAACAGCAGCAGCAGCAGCAACAGCAGCAACAGCTTCATTCGAGGGCGAATATGTACTATCTGGGACAAACCGGCATGACGCCAGAAGAGCAGGAACGAGTTTATCATCAGGAAGCCGCGGCGGCCGCACAACAACATCAGATGGCAATGGCCGCCGCTACGGCAGCCGGGATGATAAAGACTGAAGATGGTAATTTATGCGAGATCGTCTCTGCGTGTATCCAAGACTCGCTTGTAACTAAGCATCATAACTCCACGAATGTTACAGTGAAATGCGTTACGGTCGCGCAAATGCAGCAGATGCAGAAGCCCGGTGGACCGCCTACCTCGCCCGGGGGATCAGTGATGGATTTATCTACCTCCAGTGTTACGTCCACCAGTCCGCAGGTTAGTTAGAAATAATACGATGTTTACGAAAAAAAAGTATTGTGAGATCTTCGTGCTTATCAATAACATGATTTACAGGCACCACCCTACGGTTCGAACAGCCTCAGTCCACAATATGGAGGAGGACAGACGGTGGGAAGTAGTCCTCAGGCTGCGGCGAGTCCCCACTTGACGGCTAGCCCTCAAGTTCCTAGTCCTCAAGGCCAGACTCTCGATCTTAGCGTCAATAGACTCCATAGGTAAATCAACCCGTTAATTTGCATATTTATAACAGATAATGAGAATAAGACCTTGAAATCTCAACTTTACAGGAAAAATTGTTTTCAAGCTCAATTAAAAAGTTGAAAAATTATTTTAATGAAGAATCTAGAATCGACAAAATGCTCCGAAATCATAAGCATTTGGAATACCATTACAATACTTAGATAAACGACTACAGATACGAAAACAGATACATATCTATTTCTACTGCAGCGGTGCACCCAGTCCACAGTATTCTACCGGCCACGGGGAAGCCGTCGCAGTTCCAGTGGGTCCGGGTTTTCCAGCCCCACGACCTATCGAAGAGCAGACTGAGCCCGTTGATTTCTCAACGGCGAACGAGCCGGTCAATTTCAGCGGGGGTCCGGGAATCAGGCCTGTACCCGGGTTTCCGCCGCCTGGAGTGCACGTCACGGCGTATAGTCGCGAGAGCACACCCGACAGCGGGGGTTCCCACTACATGGACGCCTACCGAGACCCCACCGGTGAGTTATCGTCGTTTATCGTGTAACTTCGCGGACAATCTATGATCCGTGTTCCGAAGATGCTTTACAACTGTCTTTGTAGTCGCGTTATATAGCAATAATCGCAATAATAATTATATAAAGTTGTAAAATTTATTAGCTTGTAAAACTTATCCGTAAAAAATATTTTCTGCTAAAATAGCTAAACGCATTACGTCAATTTTTTTGAAATAATAACATTTAACGTGGAAGCTTCTCACTGCCATAGTATTTTGATACCAAGGAGCGTTACCTGCTCATTGAAATACTTGTAACAATTATAATATCGTTTGCTCGTGCAATAACGTTGAATCGTAATTTGTTGCGAAAATTTAGCGACGGAAAATCGTCTGTACGATAATGCCGGCTGAAGATGAGATAGAGCGAAAAAACAAACATGGAGAAGGGTGCGACAGGGTGTCTTTAACACTATAAATTTTAACTGGCATATATATGCGCGGCAAGAGATACACGCGAAGCGTTAATGTGTCCTTATACAGGCGTCGTGTAACGTCAGGTGATAGCGGGGGTGACGCGGAGGAGGCACATGGACGAGGGATTCGGAAGAGAACAAAGAGCCCGACGCCCCCGGGGGTCGGCAAGGGTGGCGAGGGATGTAGATGGGGTTGGGGGACGATACGCGGTTACAACCGTCGAATAAAAATTCACCAGAACAGTACATGACTGCCATAATAGGCACCTATGGCCGAACTCTCATTTTCCTCGGTCTCTCTGTACCTTGGCATTCCAAACCCGCGGCCGATTCTCCCCCTTCTCATCCCTTCCTTCCTCTCTCTCTTTCTCTCTGATCGTTCCCCTCGTTTTCTCCGTTTCCATCCTTCCCTTTCTCTCTTCTCTTCTCTCTCTCTTTCTCTCTCTTTCTCTTTCCCTTCATCCTTCGGCCTGAATGTGCACCGTGCGCACCCTTCTCGTCGAACCACCCCCCTGTGACGGTACACGGCCATTGTTAATTATCAATATTTCGCGTACACGTAGCGCCGGCAAAAGTCCGGCGCGGCCGATATTGTGCGGACTCTGACGCTGGGGAGTAGTTATTGAAATTGAAACATTCGAGCACACACAGCACCGTGTTCCCCGGCCTCGACGCACACAGGGCACGGCCGTGTTCACACGACGTCGCGCGCGCGCGCGCGCGCACAGTCGGCCTTCCGTCCGTCGGCTATTTGCATTGCGTGCTCTCTCGACAAAATGAATTCTTGCCAGTAAATAAACGTGTAGATTTTACAACAGTTAATCAAGCAGCGGGCTGCTCTTGTAGTGCGCCTGTGTTCGCGCTATTTCCGTGTCTCCCGTTCGAGCGCGATTACATGGCGCGGCGCGTATATGTGCGTATTTAGGCAGAGTGTCCTAGAAATCGTACCGCTTTCCCGGTATCGTATAAAAGTCAAAAGATTATACTAATTCGCTCCATAGTATCAACATTTTAGTATGCCAATTTGTGAATTATTTATATCTATAGAAAATTAACGGATTTTTTCTAACGAAGTAAACATTGAAAACACAAGTCAGAATCGAAGAAGAGAACAAAATCTTTTTCCCCTAATGCATTTCAAGTTGTCAATACTTAATTCTAAATTTATCTTGATATTTAATTATCAAAGTATTCAATATCGAAGAAATTGAAAAACATATTAAGATTTTTTTTTATTGAATACAGTAAATGCATTTTGTAAGGCACTTTCCGTTTCGCACTGTACCGGTATATTTTTACTTTTAGAGAACTATTAATATAATTGTTACTTTCTTTATTTATACAATCTCTCGTATATCAGGTTACGGACCGATGAGTCCTCACCCAGGATACGGGATGACCGGCGTTCAACCCGAATATCCTGGGAACACGTACACCCCTTACCCAACTGCAGGTTACAATTGCGGTGGAACTTACCCGGGTGGCCCAGTGACTTCCGGTTATCAGATTCCAGCGGGTTACACCCCGGCGCCGTGTTACAGCATGCCACCCCCGCAGCACACGGTTGGACCCCTCGATAAACCATCCGGCAAGGACGACAGGTAGGATATCTCTTTTATCCCTTTATCGCGATTATGAGCAACAATCCGACTCATAGCAAACTTTTATTTTTGTACTATAAATATGAGTCTATATGCTCTTCGGTGAAATAGGAATCATTATTTTAAACTAAATGTTCGAGAGCTTAAAAACTTTATGTAACGATACTTCAATACCGCTCGATAGGTCTCGATTAAAAATATTGCATTAAATCTGTCATAAGATCGGCCGATATTCTCACCGCGTATTTGGCACATCTCTCTAACTAAGAATTTATTCTTCCACTAGATGTATTCAATATACTTAAAACCAGATAGTGATTTGTGACGCTCGATACGCGATGAGAATCCAAATCGTTATTTAGCGTGAGGTAGCGTTATTAGAGAATACGTCCACACGTCGTGCAGGCGAGCATCGCGAGTTCTCGCCTTGATACTTACTTGCCTTGCGGAAAGGATCGCACGAATCCTTCACGCGATAGATTCGTGGCCGAAGCTTGAAAAGACGTGGAGACGGTGGCGGCGGCGGCAGCGGCGACGGAGGGCGAGAGGAAAAGGGGGCAAAACTCGCGCATACCCACCTCCATTTTGTTAATTAAAGTAATTACTCTTCGTACCGAAAGTGCCAACCTTATTCTAATTGACGTGAAGCTCGGCGGTATGGAGGAGGCGCGGTTGGGCGTATAAGAAGAAAATGAGGATGAGGCTCGAGTGGAAGGCGCGCGTGCGGGAGAAAGGGGTTGCGAGAGGGTGCGGAGGCGAGGCAGGATAAGGTTAAAATGGGGAGGTGGGGTATAATCAGTTGCCACCGCACTGGATTATGGGCCGAGACCCGGCGTCGTCCCTCCCGCCGCGTGGGTTAGAAATCCGGAGCACACCTCCTCGGCTACCTCGAGGCGAGGCTGCCTTTCGTCCCTTTTGTAATTTTACCACGGTCCAAAATTCGACGCGTCGCGTTCCACGAATCTCACAAATGTCCCCCCCCCCCCCCCACAATGGACGAAAGTGGGAAAAGCACGAATCCCCATTCTATCGGAAGTTCGAGAGATGATAATATTGGCGATATACAATACTTACACTTGTGCGAAAATATAATTGTGAATGTATTACTTAATTACTGTACATAATATTGCAAAAAGATAAATATTATATCTGCCTTGCCTAACGCAAAAAGGTTTAAAATAACAAAATTCGAATATCAAAGAGAGAGAAATTAAATTATTGACTTTTAACTGTCAATAGGATATATCTTATATTAAAAAATCATTTTTTTTTTAGATTGAAAACGTTTCGTAACAGTAATCTTATTTCTTAATCTATTTTATTATATTGAAATCTTTGCAATATTTATTAAATATGTTATTAATAATAATAATGAGTGTGTTTAGTAAATTATATCCTTTTTATTACACAAACTTTGAGAAGTTGAAACAAAGATTATATATATATGTTCAATGATTTCCTCGCGATATTAATTTTTCCCTCTTTCTCCCCCTCGTTAGTTGCATCTTTATTGAATCGCTATAACATGGAACACGTACGACCAGGTGAAATCTCGGTAAAATCAATCTATATCCGAACTTCAACTTTATTAATAGCAGCAGGCAATATAACCACCTTGCCTTGTTACTATAACTCGCGTCCTAACTATATTATTAGTCTTCTCTTGGAAACGTTTTTATTGGTACGTCTTAATTCGGATCTCAATCACTTAAACCTACGAAAAAATATCAAGTATATAGGATATCTCGCAAATCGTGAAAAAAAGTCTCAATTCTTTTCCTAAATACAAAGAATACAAATTTTTTTAAAACTCTCCTTTAAGTTTGAATATTCTAAAAAATCTAGCCACCAAAAATTAAGAACGATTAAATCTTCCAAACGATCCATTTTATCATAATCATTGCATACTCGTTTGTATATATACTTTGTTTGCTAGAGATCGTGTGCTGTATTTTATTTTGATATGCAGATATATTAAAGTGATATTGTGTAAATATATATAAATTACTTTATTAAAAAATATATTAATTAATATGTAGAAAAAATTGTTAACAAAAATCACGACACAATTCTTATGTACTTGATACTACCTACGTCCAAGACAGAGTTAGCGGGCCAGCAGAAACTGTAAAAACGTGAAGGTGGATAGATAGTCCGATGGCGTACCGGACTTGAATTGCACTCAAGTCGGCATCCGTCGGCACTCGGTTGCCCGGCAATATCGCGACCACTCAAGGGCCATCGAGGTTTCCGAGGCTTTCTCATTGCCGACGACGCCGACGGCTTGCCTATCTACAAAGCTACGATGAGATCGGAAGCAAGAGCGAGACGCTCACCCTCTGATTCTCTGACCGGCGCATATGTTCCTTCGCTTTTCCGCCCCCTACCAGCCCTTTTTCCCCGCTTTTCGACGTTTTTTCATATCATGCTATCACGTCGCACATTGCTCTTCCACTCGCGCTTCAAAGAAAAGTTACGAAACGCAATATAACTTTGCGCCGCCCTATAACTATAAACTATATACACTCGCATTCGCATCTCGGAAGGCGACTTATGATTGTCGCTTATGTTGGGTGTAGAGTATATTAAATTACGTTAGACAATCTGCTCGAGTGCTTTTTGCAAACACACAAAGCCATATAATTCTAGTCGCTACACTTTAAATTGGTAACATCGAAAAAAGAAGGGAATAATTTAGGCGGAAGTGCCGCGTTTGGATCCCCGCACTCGAATAGCGACAATTAGAGAGCTATTGATAATTCCATAATCAACTTAGCTAGGGACTCTCGATTTGACGGTTAATATTATTCGGTGCAGTATGAGTGTGAGGAGGTACTCGTTGAATTTCGCACCTCGGCCCGCCCCTCGTGGTCGCGATGGCAAGGAGCTGATACAGTGTCCCACGTCGTCCTGTGATGGCATGGGTCATGTCTCAGGGAACTACGCTACCCACAGAAGGCAAGGCAGCATCGACATTTACACTAAGCCTTTGACGTGAACGTTCGATTATTATATATCGATATGGCGATGCAGCACGCACGCAAGCACGCTACATACATACATACATACATACATACATACATACATACATACATAC